TCGACCACTAAGAGCTATTGGGCCCAGTGGGACAGCTTGTTGCTTCAGGATGGAGTTCTGTGCCGTAAATGGGAAAGTGTTCAGGGAGACAGCTGTCATTTGCAAATGGTTGTCCCTAAAGCTAAAGTACCGGATGTATTACAGCTGTACCATAATGATTATTCAGGAGATCATCTGGGAGTTAAACGAAGTCTACTGAAGATCCGACAACGGTTTTACTGTGTCCACTGTCGAAACGATATCGAGGACTGGTGTCGCAAATGTACAAGTTGTGCGGCTGTAAAGGGACCTCAGACTCGTAGTAGAGGTGCATTGAAGTTGTACAATGTTGGTGCACCTTGGGAGAGAATAGCCATTGACGTGGCGGGGCCGTTTCCGGAGAGTGAAAGCGGTAACAAGTATTTCATGGTTGTGATGAATTACTTCAGTAAGTGGCCAGAAGTCTTCGCCATTCCAAATCAAGAAGCTTCAACGGTTGCAGATAAACTAGTTCATGAAGTCTTCTGTCGTTTTGGAGTACCTTTAGAGATTCACAGCGATCAAGGAAGGAATTTTGAGTCTCAAATATTCCAGGAAACTTGCCGAGTTATGGGTACTCATAAAACGAGAACGACTTCTTATCACCCGCAATCTGATGGAATGGTAGAACGATTTAATCAGACATTGGAGAGGTACCTAGCAAAAGTTGTAGACAATCGGCAACGAGATTGGGACAAGCACATACAACCGTTTTTGTTGTCATATCGAAGCGCTGTTCACGAAAGTACATCAGTGACACCAGCTTTCGCAAACTTTGGGAGAGAATTACGGCTGCCTGCAGACCTGATCACCGGGATACCACCTGATGCCCTACGCAGTATAAACGATTATGCAAATGACTTGCGGAACAAAATGAATGACATTTACGAGCACGTCAGACAATCGGGCCAGCGAATGTCTGCAAAGATGAAAACCCGGTATGACCGCAAAATGAACAACAAAGGGTTCGACGAAGGTTCGCTAATGTGGTTGCACAATCCAGTCCGCAGCAAAGGGAAATCTCCTAAGCTTCACGCTAAATGGGACGGCCCGTACCGGATTGTGACCAGGATCAACGATGTAACCTACCGGATACAGAAAGGCGCAAGAGGGACTCCTAAGATCGTCCATGTGGATCGCCTGGCGCGTTATTATGGGGCCGATAATGCTCGGGACGAGCATGTCTTAGGAGGGGGCAATGTTGCGCGGCTAAGTTGACATCTCATCTCATGGCATGCTAGCTCTAGCGCCATCTATTGTCGGGTAACAGAGCGAGGAGAGAGCTTTCCAGAAAATGACATAACTATTTTTTTTAACCGACAGTGCCATCTAGTATCAAATTGAAGAACTAAACTTTCTAGAAGCTCTACACTCGATCTTTCTGCGCTTGGTCGGTTCGCGCGCGTATTTACTTGAATATTCTGGAATATTCTGGAATATTCTGGATGTTTTCGTGGAAGAGCCCTATATAAAGGCGCTGCAATACGCGATCGGGGCAGTATTGGATTTGGCGAGACAAGCGAAGCTTCGGAGCGGAATAAAGTGAATTAGTGTGTTTAATTATTACCTAGTGTTTTAAGTTTTAATTTGTGTAAAGTAAATTAAAGTGTTAATTTAGGTAATTTTATCGGCAATTTTTATTGTCACGAACCTCAAGCTCGTAACAGTATTAAATACGAGCGTTTTTAAGTCTTCTTGAGTCTCATTTTTTTGTTCTGGGAGCCCGTGAATTAATAAATTATTCCTTTTTTCATTTTTTTCCAGATTTTCTATTTTCCTATTAAGTTTTTCAATTTCGCTTTTCAATTTTTCGTTTCCTTCAATGATCGGTTTCATTTTTTCATCAACTTTTTTTAGTACTGTTGTCGTAATGTTTTCTGTTATCGTAATTGTTTGTAGATTAAGTTGTTCTTTCATTTTTTCTAGCAACAGTGACATCTCTGATGATAGTTGAGTTGACATCTTGTGGTGAAACGGAACGTTAATATTTGCAATAAATAGAAAAGAATGTATATTAGTTTAACAGAGTAATTTAACAGTGTTATTTCGTAAATTACGGGAGCGTTGCACAAAAGCGTCTAACATTTACAAGCACCGGAACCGGAAGTTCAGCAAACCGTTTGGTTCGAATGCGTGGTAAGTCAACAACGAAAGAGTTGAGACTAGCCGAACGTATGGTTGTCCGATGGTGGAAGGGAGAGGGAGGAATTAAATTATGCAATTTCAGCGCACACTCTCCGAAATACATTCCGTAGAAAACCGAAAGGCTGGCGACTTTTTGCCCGTGTTCGAGGCTAGTAAGATTGGTTTTAACCAATTTCGGGTCACCAATAAGCCTCTTAGCACGCCTTTCCATTGCGTCCATATCTGCTAGGCGGCATTTTGCAGCACCAGTCCATATATGGCAGCAACACTCCCAGTGTGAAGTATAACCACACCACTGCATGGACTCCTAGCTTCCTTGCAACTGCTTTGGCCTTCGACTCAATGAACCGCTTGAATTTTAAATTTGAGGACATCTCAGGTTAAGTAATAGTTGGGGATCAATAGATCTGCAAGATTTAGCTGCACTTGTCGCGGTCAGTCCGTAGATGGGAGACCGTTTTCTTAACATACATATAACATAGATTGAGAGAATAAGGAGTGCAAATATATCCTCAGACACATGGTGCACTTTAATGTCTTCAGCATATTTGGCTAGTCTCGGTTGTGATTATTATGTTCTTAAAGTCATGCAGCTAAAACTATAATAAGTTTATTATTACTTTACGTTTTTCAGGGACAGATGAAAGAGAGAGTAGCATCATAAACATATTGGCCTTTAAACAGAGTAATCTTATTTAACAGATTCCTACAAGTTTCCTTACTTAAATTATTTTAAGGTTACATTCATATTTAGGTCGAATGTTAAAATAAACTTCTATAATGTATTAATTATTAAATGTTTTTTTTTCAATTATTAAAAGTAATAGTTAAGATATGAAAAATAAAGCAGCCAAATGAACTCCTTATCCCCATTTTTTATTTCACCAGCAAATATTTTATAAAATATAAATAGGTATTTACTTAGTTAAGTATCTAACTATTTATATTTGATTATCATTATGTTAAAAAGAAATACCGATGATACTGTCCATGGCAGTAAATATTTGTTTCGGTTAAAATTTTCAATATGGACCATCGATTTAAATGCCCATATTTTTTTGTAGATAGTACTCAAAGTCAAAGTAAAAGCAAAGTTTTAGGTTGCGGAAACTTACGGTTCATGAGATACATTTTTTTTACTTTTCATACAAATTGGCAAATAACACGCAATTACAAAATAAATTTGACAAATAATGGCCAACATTAATTCATAATTAATGAAATTAAATTATAATATTTACAAAAACAAACATCACAATAGATAATACGACTTAATTAAAATTACATTTATAAAATAAATCAGCCAGTGCGATCTTGGACAAAATAAATACGATCTTATTAACTTTTTATTTAGTAGTGTAAAAAGAGACCAAAGATGACCACTTGACATTTCTTTTTTCACGCTAGAATTATACGCAACATCTTTGAATATATTTGTTTACTTATTTTTGACTTATTTGAAAATTACATTCGAAAAAGCAAGACAAGTATGTTGACTGAATGTATGTAGAATTGTATATTGAAGGTTGTAGGTTCTTTTCATAATTTACTGCATATATAATAGAGAGTTCCCTCTATGGAGTGTAGAAATAAGGAGTACAGACTGTGTATTAAAAAGTGTCCATAAAAACCTTTAAATAAGGGTGGCGCCACTATAGCTACGGGGTAAATTTTAAAGAACTCCCCGAAAAATATTAGCGGGATAGACGACTTTTTCGAGGTTAAATTTACTAAATAAAATTATTTTAGATTTTAGAGCTACTGATCAGTTTAGCACTTAAACCGGTGACAACTGCTAAGTTCATTTCATCCCAGTAGCTACTCCAGTGCTGTTGTGGAGAGTTTTTGAGCTGTTATTTACTGCTTACAGATGACCACTTCTTCAACCATAGATAAATAAATATCTAGTCTTCAACTATTCTACTATGGGAGTTGGTACTCATTACTTCTACACTCCATAGTTCCCTCTATGCATACGTACTCTAACACAAACTAATAAGAGTACTAACGTATTACTCTAAGCACTATCCTAAGTTTATGGTGTAAGTTGGATACCTAGTTCTATACTCTTTGGTATAAAGGTAGGTCCATAGAGTAGAGATATACAGAAAGGTAGGTCGTTTACGATATATTACTTTCCTCTATGGTAGGTCGCAAGGAGTATGAAATCACTATCTACGTTTTTATTATTCTATTATTATTATAAAGGTGGTAATTAGTTATTGGTCAAGTGTCAAATTCTACTTTTTATCAAGAGTTTACAAATCACTACCTACATAAAATCAAATATAAGTTCACGAGAAAAATTAGTTACTTCAATCAAGAACGTAATTTGAGGCTTAACTTTTAATGTAAGACAGCAACATTAATTTTTATTTTCAATAATAGTTTTTTAAATTGTGCGTAATCAATTCTTTACTGGAATATATTTTATTTTTACACTTAGTGAAAGAGGTATTTTTGATATTATATAAAACTATTTCCGAAAGTAAAGGGTGAAACGAAAATAAAATAAGTTTAATGACATGACGACGTATACCAAATATTAAATGCAATACAATAACAAATAAACAATTTATATCTGTTATAGCTTTGAAATCATACCCTAGTACTGTGACTCATGTTTGTTGATATTAATTTGTGATATTAAAGTGTCGAAACACTTTTAAAATGCAGTTTTTTACAGCTTGTCGTTGTTTCATGTAGTTGCAGTTTTATGGAATTATATGCTTGAATGTTAACCTAAACCTTATTTATATTTTTTATTACCGGACAGCATTATGACGTCGGGGCCCTACAACTATTCATATATTTTTAAATATATTATAATTGGAGATATGGGGGTTGGAAAATCATGTTTATTACATCAATTTACAGAAAAAAAATGTAAGTATGTAATATGTACTGCATGATTTTATTTGTAATTAACTTATATTCTCTATTGCAAGCTCTGTTATAAGAAATGCACAGAATGATTTAATGATTTGCAAAAAAAACCATAACTTCTGCACAACTGAAATTGTTGGTTACGATTTTGTTATTTCATGCCTGGTGGAAAGTAATAAATTTAAAATTGAGGAAGTATGTCAACCAGCACTGTAACAACACAATGTAATTTCCTGCTTCGTTATTTTATAAAGAGACAGGTGCAGCTGTGGGTCATTAAAAAGCAGTGCAGCCTTGCCCTTATTAGATGAGACAACCATTTTCATGTATATCATTTAAACTTTCTTTTTTTTTCTTACAGTTATGGCAGATTGTCCACATACAATTGGTGTTGAATTTGGGACTCGAATAATTGAAGTTGCTGGTCAAAAAATTAAACTACAAATCTGGGATACTGCTGGTCAAGAAAGATTTAGAGCTGTTACGCGGTCATACTATAGAGGTGCTGCTGGTGCTCTCATGGTATATGATATCACTAGAAGGTAAGTGCTATAATTATGAGGGTATAATTTAATTTTTGTAAATTTGATTCAGGTTAATACATTGGTTATCCAATGTATGACAACCTGACTCAAGTGTCTTCTATCATGGGTAAACTTGTGAATAATGGCGGCACTGGAAAATATTTGCCAATGTTTACAAACATCACTTTAATCTTGAAAAATAATACTTTTCTATGATAAAGTTATATAAAGTTAATATTTCGTGACAAATTCAATGTGTTTGATTACCTCATACTACTATAATTTCTGTTCAAAAATTTACATATTAAAAATAGTTATATTTGGCTATTTTGCAAGGAAGTTAATGTTCATTATATAGCTGAAAAACTTAATGAATATAATTTTAAATGAAATGACTTTTATAAGGTGGTCAAAACAAATCTGTTTACTGAAAGTATGACACCCTGCTTTTAATTAGCAACAACAAGCAGTGGAGCCAACATCTTCTGTTATTTAATTCAAAACTCAAACTATTGACCTCAAGAATATTTCTCCCAAAACTGTTATTGCATTGTTGGTAATAAATAATAATCCCTAGGGGGTTGACTGTAGAAAATACCAGAAAAAAATATACGCGATAAATTCCGTAAAAACTAGTATTATTTCAATACCAGAAAAATCTTATGACCTCCGAAACATGGCATTTAAAAAAAAGATTTCATTTGTGCCTAATGGAAAATACTCATACTGACACCTGGGAATAACTTCAAAGCTGCTAGACATATTTCCTTTTGTGTGGTAGAAGTCTTTCTAAGTTGGTACCATCCTCTTATCTATTTTTTGCCAAATTGAACTACCTACAAGCACTTCCCTGTTCTGGTCTCAAAGTTGTAGACAGTCAGTATAATAATTGCCATAAGCCATTTCATCTTAATCCATCTTTATTTGAATTACTGGATTGACTGGGGAAGGACCACACTCTCACAGAATACCAGCATAAAATAGTAGGTTAATGCTGCTGTGTTCCGTATGGTGAGTGTAGAGAACCGGAGACCCTTCTTACTGGAAACAAGGCATTCCATCTTAGTCCTCACGGGTGACAACACATCTACATTTTGATACGTAATAGAGGATAAATGTAGATGTCTATGGGCCACAGCAACCACTTACCATCAGGTGGACTGTGTGCTTGTTTGTCACCCTATCCTATAAAAAAAAGTCAGCTGCTAGCCATTTACCATAACATATATGCCATACCATACCAGTCTACTTGAAAGAAAGCATGACGACCTAGATAGACTCACACAGAAAAGGAGTTTTACACTCCACACTTCTTCTTTGTTCTTGCTACAGCAGTCCAATCGTGACAGCAGATTACAGGTTGCTGCTTTTAGTGCAACATGAGCAATATCGGCACCTATCTTGTTCACTTCTTTGACTTTCAAGACAATCGTACAGAATATTCAAAATGGTTGTATCTCAATTTGTTTCTGTATGGTGAATAGTGTTGTGTTATGATAAATAGTGATGCAGCTGAAGATATCGTAGGAAGCAAACTGGTTTGAATGCATGGTATGTCGACAACGAATGGATGGAGACCAGCCGCGCATCAAGTGGTCCGATGACGCAACCCAGAGAAAAATTGTCATTCTATTCCTGCTCACAATCTCAGTAATTTTTCCTGTAAAACACTGGAAAGCTAGCTACTGAGACTGGTAAATCGGTACAATCCAAGCAACCCCCCCCCCCCCCCCCCCAAACGGGTTTCTTCCTTGTTGTAGAGGAAGGCTTAGTAGCCATGACTTGGTCACACATGGTGAACAAAGAGTAACCCACTTGACTGGCCTAAGGTGTAAGGCCCGCCCAAGGTGGCTGCTCCGAGTGAGCTTGCCTAGCCCACTCCGGAAGCGCGTTCTTGGACTGTGGTGGGAAGGGTGTGCTCACCCCTTCCCGCGGCAACCGAGGTGGAGTCGTAGAGCATGAAGAATGTTGGTATGGCAATGCGCCACTTGCCTTGTTAATTTCCGCGACTCTTACGGGGTTATGCCTAGGCATTGCAACATGTAAAGAAGGTACTAACCACACCATACCCCATAGCATGGCTTTCTATCGAGTCCAAAGCCACTAGGTGGCATTTTGCAACACCAAATCATCTATAGCAACTATACTCGCATCTAAGATTTGTGGTGAAGGGACATGCTTGTGCTTTGAAGTCATTCAAAGACATTATACGTACATATGTACGGAGACAGTGGACAGTACGCGATTCTTACGTGCCACCATGGTTTCTCTTTCCTATTGGATTTTATCTCAACTGACTTCAGCACCCAGCTGATATATACACAGCTGTGCTGTCATTTGCATACCCATAGATACCAAGTATAAGCAAATATTAGTATTCAACATGCAAAGAGTTGCGGAGATGACAAATCACTGAGTAACTCTGGCATTAATTGCCACTGTCTCGTAAGAGCAGCCATTGAAAATGACTCGGAAAGACTGCTTACACAAAAAGTATTTCACCCTGCTGATCAGACCAGGGGATAAGCCATACAATAAAAGCCCTAGTAGTCAGACTTGTTGTCGTCGACGTTGTTGTAATGAGAGCATGTCTGGCTCTTAAATATATTCCTAGGCAGTAGCGAAGCTACAGCTCCAAACTAGGGCAAGCCCAAGATATAAATTCATAAAGATATAGATTGTTGTTTTTTTTTTCAGTTTTATAAAACTACACAAATCTTGATCTGTCTCCACTCTTCAGTTTCATATTTAGTGCCGTCGAGGACGTGTTTAACAAAGCACACAAAAGGCATACTACTGCTAAATAGATTGTATGACATATCAGCAATTGCATAGCTTCGGTGGCTTTGAAAAAAGCCGTTTGGGCTTGTACAATACAATACATGAACAAAAGTAAAGCATGAACAAAGTACAAACTATGTACAACATAAAAAAAAATTATTTACATTCTAAATGGAATTGTCTCTCTTTCATAGAAAAGATTTGATTATGTCCTTGTTAAATGTTGGTGAACGTTTTAACTGTACCAATAACTGTTTTTTAATTGCGATAATTGATAAGTCTGAAAGACACTCTTGAAGGTCAAGTGTATTTTCTCAACAAAGTTTAAAGATTACCTTTTCCTCTCCAATTAGCACTTTAACATACTTCAATTCATCACATAATAACAAAGATTAAAGGGGCCATCCAAAACAAAGTAATATGTCTAGGCTCCTTCATAGACACAGAAAGTGCTTTTGACAGAACAAACTTCTCCAGCATAAAGTGAGTGTAAGTGCACTAAGTAGACATACACTGAATGACTGGATAGTAAACATGCTCAGTACACAAACAATAAATATTGCTGGTGAATCTCAAACAATTCAGATCATGAAAGGATGCCCGCAGTGTGGGGTCTTTCACCTCTCCTATGGAATATGATCATTAATAAACTCATCAGCAAATTAAATGCTAATCATTTCTACACGTAGGTTATGCAGATGATCTGACAATACTGGTCTCTGGAAAGACAGCAAGCATGGTGCAGGGAATATAACCTAACTGTTAATCCAAACAAAACGGTTCTAGTTATTTTCGCACAAAAACGAATGCTGAATAACTATCATCCCCCAATTCTTATCAGCACAAAACTCCAGCTATCCTCTGAGGTGAAATACTTAGGTCTTACCTTTGATAGTAATCTTAATTAGAATAAGCATATAGAAAACAAAATCAACAATGCTAGTATAACCTTCTGGCAATACAGAAACATGATTGGCAAACAATTGGGTTTTACGTCAAAAATTATACTGTGGCTGTACAAAACTGTGATTCGGCCCATGATTCACATACAACTCTCTGGTGTGGTGGACCAAAACTAATGAAGACACCACTATAAAAAAGCTTCAGCGTTACCTGAGATTGGTATGTATGGCTGCCGTACGCTGCATTAGAACTACACCAACAGTAGCTTTAGACTGATATGGTCACTGAAACTTAATTAAACAACTTTTAAACACTTATATATTTATATCATTCCCCATTGCTCGCTCCTACATAACACGCGCGTGCTGTGAAATTTATCTTGTATGCGATAACTACCCTCTAAAACCCAATATGTTGAACAAATGTGATTACTGTAGCAAAAACATTACGAAATCTAAACCGGGCCTAGAATGCAATCGCTGCGAAAAACTAGTTCATCTTAACAACCAATGCACTGGACTTACCAATAAGCAAGTAACTGCACTGAAGGCTTCCGAAAACCTAGAGTGGAATTGTCAAGACTGCCAAGAAAAGACACCCCGACGTAGCTCAATAGTGATCCCTAATGATGAAGACGACGAACATTACTCTGAGTCTCCCACTATACAGATCGACGTTAAAAAACTGAAACTGGGGGATATATCTAAAGAGGTAGAAAGAGACATAAAAAAGGAAATGAAAGACCACACAAAAACATAGAAATTATGCAAGATAATATTTCTAATCTCCAAAAGAAAAACACAGAACTTACCAATAAAAATAACAACCTAGAAACGCGGGTAGGTGCGCTAGAACAGCGCATTCAAGAAATAGAACAACAAAGGCTACATAAAAACATTGAAATCGACAACATCCCATACGTTGAAAACGAGAACCTACCAGAAATTGTAGGTAAAGTGGCAATAAGGCTTAATCAAAATGCATGCAATGTTAAGCAAATGAAACGACTGCCCAGTAAAAATGATCGACCAGGACCGGTTATGATTGAACTGAATAGTGAGCAAACACAATTAGCATGGCTAGCTGCTTCGAAATCGATAAGCCCCAGAATTACAACTCAAGAAATATGCTCACACAACCACTCTTCAAAAGTAAATACAGCAATATTCATATGCGAAGCCCTAACGCAATACAACAAGCAACTACTGTACATGTATGCCAAACAGGAGCTCAAGAACTCATTTCGTTACATATGGATTAAGAAAGGTGTTCTGCGTGTACGCCGGGCAGGAGAAAGCCAGAAACCAATTATAATACGTTCAGCGGATGATGTT